CAAAGTTGGTTTGAGCCGCATGGTTCTTCGTTCAAGCTCACCATCTGCTCCTTGGAAACCCTATACAGGGTCACTGTGAGTTAGAACCGACTTGACGAACTTGTGTCAGGCACTGTGTGTTAAGTGTTCCACATGTTATTTCAATTAATCTTCACAAATCACTCTATGAAAGAAGTATTATCCACATTTTCCATTTTAAAATACGAAGTTCCAAGGGGTTACATAACTTGCTCTGAGTCATAAAATTATTTGGTGTAAAAACAATAATTCAAAGTTCTGCATACAGGCATAGCCTGGGAACTAAAGCCATTCCTAAACATGTCTAAGTCAAATTGGTAGGTAACCTGGAATGGGAGCATTTGGTTCGTATTTAGCTTTACTTTGAAGCCTAAAAAAGGATACCTGGTGGTGCAGTGGTTAAGTGCTTGGTTGAGAACCAAAAGGTTGGTGGTTTGAACCCATCAGCTGCTCTGTGGAAGAAAGATGAGGAAATCTGCTCCTATAAAACACACACAGCCTTGGAAACCCTATAGGGTTGCTATGACTTGCAATGAACTTGAAAGCAATGGGTTATGGTGGTGGGCTTGCTGTGGTTGTTGTTAAGTGCCGTCAAGTCCATTCCAACCCATAGTGACCCTGTCTGTATAGGGTTTCCAAGGAGAAGCTGGTGATCTTGAAACACCAAACTTGCAGTTCAAATGACTTTGCAGTCTGATGCATTAGCTCACAACACCACAGTGCATGAAAATGCTCAAGTCCTTTTCAATGACTTAAAGTTATGTGTGCAGCAAGTGAAGATGACTGTGATGAAGAATTTGTTGGGAGTAGGGGTTGGATCAATCTTTTCAAAGTGAAAGCAAATTTATATAACACTAAACAGGGTCGCTATGGGTCGGAACCGACTCGACGGCACTTAACAACAACAACAACAAAGGGGAGCTCTGGTAGCATACAAATCGGGTCACTAATCTCACAGTCAGCTGTTCCGCGGAAGAAAATGAGGCTATCTGCTCCCGTAAAGATTTACAGCCTCCGAAACCCTGTACAGGGTCGCTATGAGTCGGAACCGACTCCATGGCACATAACAACAACAACAACAATGGGCAAGCACAAGTTGTCATTGAATATACATAACCCAAGGACTTACTGTTGTTGTTGTTAAGTGCCGTCGAGTCGGTTCCGACCCATAGCGACCTTGTGCAGGGTTTCCGAGGCTGTAATTCTTTACGGGAGCAGAAAGTCTCATCTTTCTTCCGCGGAACAGCTGGTAATTTCGAACTGCTGACTTTAAGGCTCGCAGCCTGATTCATAACCACTACGCTACCTGACTCTAAAGTCTTTTTCTATAGAACCACACTTTGTTTACATATGTCATGTCAAAAAGCAAATAGATAACATGAACATACATGTAGGATCTCAGCTTTAATAGAGACAACAACAGCAAAGAAAGTAAAAAGACAATGACTTGGTAATATAATGTCCTTGTATTCCAACAAAATACAGATTGGGTAGAGATATAGAGTTCACAGGAGCCTGGGTAGCCCCAACAGGTTGCTAACCTAAGGGCTGGCCATTCAAATCCACCAAGCCACGATCTTATTCTTTGAAGATTACAATCAAGAAAACCCTATAAAGCACTTCTATTCTATAACACATGGAATCAATTCACAAAATGGACAAAAATAATGAAAACTAAGTCCAGATTACAGAATTTCAAGAACATCTAAGGATACATAATATGGACTTAAAATATATTAAACCATGAAAGGTGAAAAAACTAATGAAAATGATGCTTTAGAAAAATTACCATTGATAGAACATAGAATTGTTTTTAAAGGAGAAATTGGATCGTAGTTAATAAACTACAAAGTCCACGGTTATAGCCTGGAGTTCTGGTGTGGCACTGCAGCATAATGCACTGGATCATAAGGTAGGTTTGCATGGGAAGACTGGTGGTTGAAACCCACCAGCCGCTCCTTGGAAACCCTGTACAGGGTCGCTATGAGTTGGATCCAACTCGAGGGCACTTAACAAGAACAAGATCAGAAAAGAATATATGGAATCTAATACTGTACGTAAAGGTAGAGGAGTCCTGGTGCTTTAAGATAAGCACAGTAAGGTTGGTGGTTTAAACCCACCAGCTGCTCCTCGGAAACCCTACAAGGGTCATTATGAGTTGGAACCACCTTGACAGCACCTAACAAGATGAAGGGAGAAGTCAATTGATAAATATCTACAGGCAGTCTTCAAACTAGAACCTACTGCATTTAAGACTTTTTTTTGTGTGCGTGTGCTTGACTGACAAATGGAAAAGGTTGGCAGTTCAAACCCACCCAGTGGCACCATGGAAAGCCCTGGCTATGGCAATCAGCATCCACAAAGATTACCACCAATGGGAGTTCTCCAAATGACACATAATCAAAAAACTAATACCTCAATATATCTGTGTTTACAAGCAATGTTTCCAGCCCAGCCCCAAAAGACAAGTAAGGTTCAATTTTATAAAGATACCAATAGTAAAAGCGCAATTAATAATGAAAACTTTCTTTACTTTAATGAGGTATTCAATTTATATCAGGTCACTGTTGGTTGACTTTACAACGGAGTCCTGAAAATGGAAACCCCTCTAAATGAGCGATCACCATTGTCCATCAAACACTCCCTTTATTTTTCTCTCTCCATTAGTTACAACAATAAAAGGAAAACAAACAGTTAATAAAAACGCAATTAATAGTGATCAATCTCATGCATTATAATTTAGCTTCAAGAATAATTTAAAACATACCTTCATAGCAAAACTAGATGGCATCATATTCTTAGGCCACTCAAATTCTGTTGTGTGAATTCGTATGCCAGATTCAAGTAAAAGTGTAGCTTTAAAGTCTGGTCTGTAGAAGAAATAAGTCAAATATTTTCTTTAGTTCACTTGCCCTAGTAAATTGGAGAACCTAAAAGTGCAGGTGAAAATATCAATAATCTTATAAATAATTGCCAAAGATAAAATAGGTCTATAAAAACGCTTACTTTTGGAGACGAATAAGATACGTTTTATTATCCACATCATAAACATTGTGTACTCTCATTCCTAGCAGGCTGCAAAGAGAAAGCAAACATGTAATAATAAAACATTAAATGTTTGAAACAACGCTGCAAGCGGAAGGACAGCCTACTAAACTCTAAGGTTAAGGCGTCAAGGAGAGAGAGGAGTCAGAAGGCCATCACACAAACTGACTCATAGCGACCTTATATGCACAGCAGAACGAAACATTGCCCGATCCTGGGCCAATACTATACAATGCCTTGCATCTTCGAACTGGTCTAATGTTTAAAATAAAGTCTAAGTTTGAACCTCAAGGTCGGCGGTTCAAACTCACTAGCCGCTCCTCCGAAACCCTACACAAGTTTGCTAAGAGTCAGAACCAACTCGACGGCACTTAACAAAAACATGGTAAAATATACTCCAATTAATTTTAGGTTAAAAAAAAAAAAGTCCCCGTGGAAATGTAATGACCAAGGTTACTAAACTGAGTAATAGAAACCAGACTAAAGTGTTAAGTAAACTCCAGTTACAAAGGCGATCCTCCCTTTCATTGGGGTGAAGAGGTGTGTAGAAAAAAATGGGTCCCCAGTCTGGAATTCTTTGGAGCAAATGACCAAGCTGGCGTCCAACGCTACTGAAGGCTCCTTGGAGATTCTATCAAGCCAGGGCAACAACCCAGAGTCTCGTGCCAGTCAGACACTGGACTTGGCAAGACAAGTACCCGGGATGGGGGTAGTCGGGGAGGGGCACGCGGCTGCTGGGGGCCACCCAGGGCCCTAGGGCCAGGGGAAAGGTACCACGCGCTTGCCCATATAGGCCAAGCCATGTCCACAGACAGCATTAAAAGGGAATACGGGGAAACATCAAGTTGGTCTTGTTTTCACCGTACGGCCCAGCCTCTGCCTTCTGAACGTCTCTCACGAGCCTGGTCACATGTTGGATTGTACCTGGCATTCAACTCTGCAAGAACCGCACGGAGGTCAATGGTGCTAAAGCGAGTCTTCATGGCGAGGTCTGACGGTCGCTACTACAGCAGTACCTCCTCTGCTGAGTCTGACTCAACGCCGCTATTCTTCCGCGCAGACTCACTAGCCAGAGTCTACGGCCGCTCATAAGATCCAATATTCCTTGAAGCGACAGTGATACGTCACATTTCTGAAAAATTTAGCTGGCCTATCGCCGTCGATTTCGTTTTCATTTTACTAAAACAATACGAAATAGAGCCTATCCTCTTAAAACTGCATTTCTTCTTTGAACGCTTACAGATTTAATGGGGTTACCATGCTTCCTCGTGTTTAGGGAGTCAAGACCGCTTCTGTAGCGACTCCTGCTGGCCGTAACAATTTTCACAGTTGAAAGGATTTTACCAGGTGCGCTGTAATAGTGTCGAGAACTAACTACTCTTAACCCACCCAATTACTTGAAGGTGTCGAATTTTGAAATACGACGAAACAGCTGTGTCGTTTGTCCCATGATTATGCTCAACGTTCAAGACGAACCCTCAAAAAAGAACTACTATTTTTATGGGTCCTTTTATGCAAAGGAGCGGTCTGCGGAGTATTGTAGTATTCTCATTCAACCTTAGTCTTGTTTCCTGGTAGTACTTACTACAGTAAAAGTTTGGTCAGCTGATAATAATGGAGAAAGAAGATTTTAAAAACTAACAAACCCCACCCCGAAGGCTTCACATGTTTTAGTAGTGGTAAATACAGCGGTAGTGGAACAGTGTAAATAACGTTACTGCGTCTTGCTTCACGCGGGAAAAGTTACTTCCAGGAGAGAGCTCGAAAGTGACAGGCTCTCGCTATATTGCCCAGGCTGGAGTGCAGTGGCTATTCACAGGCGCGATCCCACTACTGATCAACACGTGAGATTTGACCTGCCTCGTTTCCGACCTGGGCCGGTTCACCCCTCCTTAGGCAATCTGGTGGTCCCCCGCTCCCGGGAGGTCACCGAATTGATGCCGAATTTAGTGGGGACACCCGATCAGCATAGCGCACTACAGCCCAAAACACCTGGACTCAGATATCCTCCAGCCTCAGCCTCCGGAGTAGCTGGGATTACAGGCGCGCGCCACCACGCCCGGCTCGCGCAGCAGCTCCAGGCGGAGTCTAGAGCCTCCAGCTGCGCGTTAAGACAAATAGGTCTTGCAGGCAAAAAGGGCGCGGTTTCTGTTTCTGTGGAAACGGAGAAATGTACGTACAAAAGGGTTTTATTCATTCAATGGATTATAGCGTATTGAACCACCGACCTCACCCACGCCGAATAGCTAGGAAAAAAAAAAAAGTAAAACTTTTTGAAGGATTTAGGAAAGACTGGGAGACAGGCTTAACTGAACATAAATAATACTACGGTTCTATTGTTGGTTCGTAAGGCTACGCTTCCCAAATAAAATGCATAAATATTTTGCATAAAATCACCTGTGTAAAGCTTCCGTATTGAGAGACACTATTCAGAAGGATGATCCTTATTTCAAAGACAAAAAACCCGAAGAGCTTTATGGCAAAAATTCCATTTTTGGCGACCTTTATTTCAAGCGGCTTTGCAGTCTGGCGCATTAGATATTGCTGTTGTTGTTAAGTGCCGTGGAGTCAATTCCGACCCATAGCAACCCTGTATTAATTGAACTTCGACATAGGACAGCCAGCCCATCTCTTAATTCACACTTTGCTTCTGCCTTTTCGGTCAAGGAAATGAATATCAGAAGGAAAGGCAAGAATAAACAGAAGGAAGAAAAATAGATTAAAATTAAGTGTAAGGACTACAAGGAAAATTTATTTACTACTGAATTCTTTAATTTCATTTGTTTAGATCATTTCTCGATTTTGAGAAAACTCTGAACTAAAGATACTTGTGCAATTGTGGGGAAAATAACTACAAGGAGGAGGACAAATTTTCTTCTGATTTTCAAAGAGAATATCAAAAGTAAAAATCTCACACCAAAGACAGGTGGGTGCTTTGACACTTATCCCAAGCAAAACTTTGAAGAGATTATTTATGAGTTAATTATGCGTGTCTAACCCTGTGGTTTTCCAACTTCAGTGTGAATACAATTTCTCTGGAGCTAATTTGAAGCAAATTCATGGCTACCACCCTAGCGATTCTGATTCATTTACTAACTGCATTTTATTCAAGTTAAAGCAAAGGAGCTGGCATGGGCCACACTTGAAGATTTACTGATCTTGTGAAATACAATGCTGTCTGTGATAGGATAATATCACAGGCCTACAAGGAAGACCAGTGATAACACAAATTTATACACCAATCACTAAACCCAACTACGATGAAACTGAAGAATTTTACCAACTTCTTCAGTTTGAAATTGATCAACTATACAATCAACAAGCATTGATAATTACTGGTGATTGGAATATAGAATTAAAAACAAAGACAAATGATTGGTAGTTGAAATGATGCTTGATGATAGGAATGATGCTGGACATCTCATGATCGAATTTTGCAAGACTAACAACTCATTCATTGCAAATACCCTTTTTTCAACAACACAAACAACAGCTATGCTCATCGTGCTCGTTGTGGACCTCACCAGATGGAATACACCGGAACCAAATTGAATTTATCTGTGGAAGAAATGATGGAGACACTCAACATTATTAATCAAAATAAGACCAGGGGTCAACTGTAGAATAGACCATCAATTTGTTCATAATGCAAGTTCAGGCTGTTGTTGTTAGGTGCCATGAGTTGGTACCGACTCATAGCGACCTTATGCACAGCAGAACGAAACACTGCCTGATCCTGAGCCAACCTCACTATTGTTGCCATGCCTCAGCCCATTGATGCTGCCACTTTGCCAATCCATCTCGCTGGGGGTCTTCCTCTTTTTCTCTGACGCTCCACCTTAACAAACATGATATCCTTCTCCAGTGACTGGTCCATCCTGACAATATGTCCAAAGTATGAGAGATGAAGTTTGGCCATCCTGGCCTCCAAGCAGTACTCTGGCTGCACTTCTGCCAACACAGATCTGTTGGTTCTTTTGTTTGTACTTTCAATATTCTCCTCCAACACCATAATGCAAAAGCATCAGTTCTTCTACGGTCTTCCTTATTCACTGTTCAGCTTTCACATGCATCTGAGGTTATTTAAAATACCATGACTTGGGTCAGGCACACCTTAGTCCTCAAACTGACATCTTTGCTCTTCAACACTTTAAAAAGGTCTTGTGCAGCAGATTTGCTTAATACAATACATTGTTTAATTTCTTGACTGCAGCTTCCATGAGTGTTGATAGTTGAACTAAGAAGAATGAAGTCCTTGACAATTTCAATCTTTTCTCCATTGATAAGAATGTTGTTTATTGGTCCAGTGGTGAGGGCTTTTGTTTTCTTTACATTGACATATAATCCATACTGAAGGGTGTGCTCTTTGATCTTCATCAGTAAATATTTTAAGTCCTCTTCACATTTAGAGGTTGTATCATCTGCATATCACAGGTTGTTAATGAGTCTTCCTCCAATCCTGATGCCACGTTTTTCTCCATATAACCCAATTTCTTGGATTATTTGCACAGCACCACACCAGGACTCCTACTAGATGTAAATACATAAATCTCTATATTTGGAAAATATTCTACCATAAGCAAAAGGTTTAAGAAAACTATGGTCAGAGACTCCTGTTGTTGTTAAGTACTGTCGAGTCAATTCCGATCCATAGTGACCCTGTATTGCATTTCCAAGAAGAACCTGGTGAACTTGAACCATTGACCGTGCAGTTCAAACAACATTGTGGTCTGCACACTAGCCCACGGCACCACACCAGGACTCCCAGAGACTCCTAGACATATCTAAATACCTCAGAGGACTGGTTTACTGAATTAAAAGACTGAAGACCATAGCATCACGGGACAGCTCAGTTAACTGACACAATATAGTTTGTCAAGATAATGTTATACATCCGAGTTTGGGGAGTAGCATCTGGGGTCTTAAAACCTTGTGAGTATCCATCTAAGATACAACTATTGGTCTCTAATCATATGGAACATGAAGTAATGAAGGAAACCAAAGAATCAAAGAAGAAACTAGTCTACAGGACTAGTTCAATACCCTACATAAACCATGGCCTCTTCCTTCTAGCCTGAGACCAGAAGAATTTGATGGAGTCCTGGTGTGGCACTGTGGGTTAATGCACTGGACTGCAAAGTCTATTTGAACTGCAAGGTTGGCAGTTCAAACTCACCAGCTGCTTCTCGGGAACCCTACACAGGATTGCTATGAGTTGGAAAAGACTCAATGGCACTTAACAACAACAACAAAGCAACCTTATGCACAGCAGAATGAAACACTGCCTGATCCTGGGCCAACCTCACTATTGTTGCCACGCTTGAGCCCAATGATGATGCCACTTTGCCAATTCATCTCGCTGGGGGTCTTCCTCTTTTTCTCTGACCCTCACCTTACCAAACATGATATCCTTCTCCAGTGACTGGTGCTTTCTGACAATATGTCCGAAGTATGAGAGACAAAGTTTAGGCATCTTGGCCTCCAACGAGCACTCTGGCAGCGCTTCTTCCAACACAGATCTGTTGGTTCTTTTGGCATTCTATGATACTTTCATTATTCTCTTCCAACACCATAACTCAAAAGCATCAATTCTTCTACAGTCTTCCTTATTCACTGTCTAGCTTTCGCATGCGTATGAGCTTATTGAAAATACCATGGCTTGGGTCAGGCGCACCTTAGTCTTCAAGTTGACATCTTTGCTCTTCAACACTTTAAAAAGTGCAGCAGATTTGCCTAATGCCATATGTTGTTTGATTTCTTGACTGCTGCTTCCATGAGTGTTGATAGTTGATCCAAGAAGAATATGGCTTGAAAATATACCCAACAGGATTGAACCACTTGTGGTCCAGCTAGAGAATTGGTCATTTTTGGCTAGGTTTATATAAAGGGCAATCCCACAGAAGCTTATGGTGGCCTCACTGCCATCACGAAGAGTTTGGAGCAGAGCTCATCCTTTGGATTTAGGGTTCCTCTGCTGAGAACCTCCTAGACCCCCAAAAGAGAGTTGTATCACTGAAGAGAGAGCTATAATACTGAAGACAGAGGGATGGTGGGCTGGTGGGCCCATAGCATGTGTGGGCTGGCGAGCTCATGGAAGAAGACCTGAGACACATCTATGGTGGGCTTGCTGGCCCATGGAGAGAGAGAACTGGGTGCTTCCATGCAGGAGGTTTACTGGCTGCTGAAGATCTGTAGGACTCCTGGTGTGGCACTGTAGGATCAGCACTGGATTGTGAACCATAAGGTTGGCAGTTCACACCCACCAGCTGCTCTTCAGAAACCCTATACAGAATCACTTTGAGTCTGAACTGACTCAATGGCACTTAACAACAAAGAGCTGTAACTTTTGTCCATTCAGGACCGGGCCCCAAGTATGCCTAAGACAACATTCTCCCCTCCCCTATGCCCTCAAGCAACACTGTTGTTATTGTTGTTAAGTGCCATTGAGTAGGTTCCAACTTATAGTGACCCTGTATTGGGTTTCTGAGGAGCAACTGGTGAGCTTGAATTGCTGACCTTGTGGTTCAAATAGACTTTGTGTTCCATCACATTAACCCACAGTGCTACATCAGGACTCCTTAAGCAGCATAATGAGAGTCATATGGGTCTGGGCATCCTGGAAGGAGCTAGAGGCAGAGTCCTAGAAGACCCAGAAGCAGAGGCTCTGGCCTTCTTGCCTTTGAGGCAAGGCAGAACGAAGTCCAGCGACAGAGGAGAAATTTCAGGACCACGAAGCTTCCCATGGTAGTGTGGTGGTAGCCAGAGGCAGTAATACATGAACACAGCATCTGACCTGAACTACAGCTTGCTGGTCCATCCACATATAAATGGTCATGGGTAATTAGGGAAAGGGTAAGTGGTTCTCCTTTGAAAATCTGTTTGCACTGTTTACTGTTTACATTGTATATATAATAATCGTTTTCACTTTGCCAACGCTGTGTCAGTGTTTCATATGCCTGGCTCTATCACAGATGAATGTAGCATTCATGGAATAGTTGATGCCAGTGGTATATGTGCCAGGAAATTTGAGGCACAGCCTGTCTACATGTGTGGGCTACTTTGAATTTACTTGATATGGCTTTTCAATCCAATGTCTTAGTGCCCACCAAGTGATTGGGTGGGACGATGCAAATAAGGTGTACAGGACTCTAAGGCTGGGATTGGTTAGTTTTGCCATCTAGCTAGGTTTAAAAGGAGCCATCTCAGAAGCAGCAATGGATGACCCCAGGACCATAAAGAAGGAAGAGCATGAGTGGAGCATGAGATCCCTACCTAGAAAAGCATCAACAATAGAGGCCATGGTAGAAACGGTGGCAGAGCAGCTGCAGATGACAGACAGAGCAGTTGCCAGCTCCAGGTCCATAGACTGAATAAAGCTGAGTGTCTACTGGCAGGAGGCTTCACTATAAAACATGCCCTTTGGGCATTCACAGACTGGCTAAAGGGGCTTTATAACACTTGCTGGAGCAGGGCAGAAGCAATGGGACTACATGGCTGAGAGGCCTAAGATAAGAATGAGGTATGCTTGTAGGAGGGCAGACAAGAGGCGTTCCTGACTGCAGAACTGCTGCATCCTGAGTTTTTCTGATCCTGAATTGTACTCTGCTCACTTCCCTAATAAACTCCATAACCATGAATATTGTTATAAATTCTGTGTGAGCATTGTAGCCTTTGATCTTCATCTGTAAGTGCTTCAAGTCCTCTTCACTTCCATCATAAAAAAAATTGTCAGCATAGAAAGTTTCTTTTTAAAAAGTTGTTAAGTATAGCCAGACGGTTCCTTAAAAGCCAGGATGGCAAGAATTTGTCCAGTGCTTATCTTACTGTGCCACACCAGGACTCCTGTTGTTGATGAGGGCTGTTGAGTCGGCTCCAAATCATAGCGACCCTGTATAGGGTTTCCAAGGAGCAGCTGGTGACTTTGAACTACTGACCTTGAGGTCCAGCACATTAGCCTGCAGCACCATATCAGGACTCAAAAAAATATGGAATGCTTCATGAATTTGTGTGTCATCCTTGTGCAGGGTAAAAGTATAAACATGTTAAAGAAGACAGTCACTGGAATGACTTGTTTCTGACCTCACAGAGACTTGTCAGGTACAGACTAACCTTGACATGCATTATTTTCCCATTGCTGGCTGTGAAAAAATTACAACAATAAACACCACAAATTGTCTTACAGTTTGGGAGGTCAGAAATCCAAAATGGATCAGCAGAGCTGCATCCATTTCCTTACCTTTTCCAATTTCTGGAGACTGTCCACATTCCCTTGTTGTGGTTATGCATGATTCCTACCTCTGGTTTTCTTAGTCACTTCTCAGACACTTTTGCCCCTCTCTACTAAGGACCCTTGTGATTACATTGACCTCACTCTGACAGTTTGAGGCACTCTTCCCATCTTAATTTAATCATACCTGTAAAGTCAAGAGTAACATAATTACAGGTTTTGGGGATGAGGATATGAGTATCTTTGAGGAATCCTGGTATGGTGCTGCTAACTGCAAGGTCAGCGGTTTAAACCCACCAGTCGCTCCTGGGAAACCCTATGCAGGGTCTCTTTGAGTCAGAACTGACTGGGTGGCACTTAGCAACAACATCCTTGGGGGTGGGGGTAGGCATTTTTCTGCCTACCACAGCTTGTTCCACAAAACGGAAGTGTTTCAGAGGTGGTGGAGAAGACTGAGGGTGGTAGGAACCTGAGGGATAACAGTTATCTTTGTTCAAAATGGAATGTCACCTCAAAAATAAATTAATTTTTAAAAAAAAGGAATACTTTGTGAAAAACTTACTAAATTGTTCTCTTCACCTCTCATTTCACTGTAACAGATCACTGGAAATCTATGATCAGTGCTTAGAGTCTTTAGATTACAAAGAGATTATCAAATAAATGATATAATTCATCAAGTTGGTGTGAATGAATGATTGATCAATTTTTACTGCTTCTAAAATGCTCGAATAAGTAACCCACTAAAACAGTTCATTCTTAAAGATAGAATCACAGACCATCAAAAACTTCTGAAAATGTTAAAAGATTTTCTTCTTTCAAACGTCATGTATTTGTTTCATATAAAAAACGCGATACCATGAGACTTGTCCAAGATGACAGAGTTGATAGCACTGAGGCTTTACTGTAAGAACACAGTTTCCAAAAGCCAGCTCTACTTCACAGACACGAGGACTTTAAACTCCCTGCACTTCGATTCCATCCTGAGTCTATGTGCTGTTTGTTACCTTTGAAAATATCAAGGAGGACGAAATCCAGGGCGAGAGCATACTCCCACACTGGACTCTTATTTCTAATATCACAAGGTCGTTCTGGGCTATGTAAGTTTTTTTGTTTTGTTTTGTTTTAAGCCACAGGACGGGGAAGCAAAAACCGACATTGATTAGTCAAATCTGTCCGCAACATCCAAAAGCAAAATGTTTCCCGGGACAAGGGTGAAAGAAGGTGAGGACATCACATGACAGGAGGCGGTGAGGGGTCAGTACGGGGAAATGGTTGTGGTTAGTAATTGAAAGCAGCGGGAACAAGCTGAGAAACAGCAATATGGTCGAGTGGCCGTTTTCTCTAACTGGCTGAGTAAACGAGCAACCCCTGTTGACTTTCGTGTGTAATAGCAGTCTTTAGCAAAGACGTTTTCCTGAGGCTCCAGGAGGGGCCAGTGCTGAGGAAGTTTAAAAGCCAGATTATTCTAAATCACCTCGTGAGTTTTAACTGTAAAAGATATGTAAATTGCGGGACAAATGTAAAATTAGTAAATACTTAAGTCTTTTTTTTTTTATTTTTAAATCCATACTTTGGAAAACCGAGTACAGGTTTTCAGGTTCACACCTGAAAGTAGGCAAAAGTGTTACATTCTTTTGAGTTTTGTTTATAAAATTTTTTATAAATCTCATATATCAGTAATTATTGGCAAAAGAGACAGGGTCTCGCTATATTGCCCAGGCTGGAGTGCAGTGGCTATTCACAGGCGCGATCCCACTACTGATCAGCACGGGAGTTTTGACCTGCTCCGTTTCCGACCTGGGCCGGTTCACCCCTCCTTAGGCAACCTGGTGGTCCCCCGCTCCCGGGAGGTCACCATATTGATGCCGAACTTAGTGCGGACACCCGATCGGCATAGCGCACTACAGCCCAGAACTCCTGGACTCAAGCGATCCTCCAGCCTCAGCCTCCCGAGTAGCTGGGACTACAGGCGCGCGCCACCACGCCCGGCGGTTGTAGACAGCGCTAGGGGAGCCTTAGAGGCTGAGGTTCAGTGACGTCAGCTGGGGGGGGAAGGCGTGAAACCTGAAGGCGTAGCGCGTAAACTCACGCCCAGCGAATCGACGTCTCAAGAGGAAGGCCGTGGTGACGTAAGGAGGGCGGGGCTACTGAACAGTTCTATTGAGATTTGGACTAACTCTTACTTAAGGCGAGAGAGTCGTGCTAGCAGTATGCAGAGATGAGGCGTTCCTGATTGGAAAACTGCCGTATCTTAAATTGTTTCTGATCCTGAATTGTATGTAGCCTTTTCATTTCGCTAATAAAGTGTTCTGTGTGACCATTGCAATTGGATTGTCAAACCCAAATGTGAAGCAACGTGCTGCGGAGAGAGATGGTTGGCATCAGAATAGGGTAAAGAAGGAAGTCATCTCTGACTTCCCCGTCACAGGACTCCACCATGGGCTGATTTTGAGTTTGATTCTTCTTGTCCCTTGTGAAGCCAGAGGAAATCAAAAGGAGGGAGCTTCAAAAATTAATGGAAAAATTCAGTTATCTTTCTTTTATTTCTATTTGTCTACAAACTTTTTGAAGTCCCCTCATATTGTTGATATTGCAATCTCTGAAAAGTATCATGAAGGAAACAAAGTGCTGAGATTAAAATAATGATGCCAGGGATGGTGGGAGCAGAGACATACTTTAGGGAAGGTAATCAGGTAAATTTTTTTGAAAAATCATTTGAACTGGGACCTAAAGGATGAGGCATCAATTAAGATATTTGTATTAACAAGCAACAAGCACTGAAGTAAACAACCTCTTTTGAAGGAGGCATTGATAAGAAAATGGAAAGGGTGGGAGAATGCAGCAGAATGATAGCTGTTATCCCCTTTAACTGCACTAATAATGCTTTAGTTTAGTACCAGACATGAACTCTCAGAAACCACATATTTTCCAGTTTCCCTTATAGGTAAGTGTGGCCGAGATCTATCTCAACAGTGAAATATGAGTGGAAGTGATAGATGTAACCTAGTGCATCACATAAATCAGTTGCCATTTCCCAGAGTTAAAAGGCACCAGGCCAGATGCATTGCAATGTTTCAGCTTTAACCATGCAAATAAAGAAAATAACATGAACAGAGTATCCAAAGGAAAGGAACTAGGGTCTATGGATGACGTAATAAGGCTGAGCCACTGTTGGCCTGAGTCACTCTTCTACCTCTGGAATGGTATGTGAAAAACAATCTATTTTATTAAAATCACTATATTGAACATACTAGTTGGCACAATCAATCATCAGACACTAAAAGAGCAGCATTTGTTCAAAAACAAAGCTCAAAAGGCTGGAAGGGGCAGGAAAGAAAGACGATTGGACACAGGAGGAACCCAGGGAGGAAGTGGGTAGAGAGCCGTTACACTGAGGGGATTGCAAATATTGCCACAAAATGAAACGTGTACAAACTGTTAAGTGGAAATCTAATTTGCTCAGAAAACTCCACCCAAACTACAATAGAAAGTTCACCACCAACAAAAATCTGTAATGTTGTGGTCATTTGTTATTTTGTTTTATATACAAATTATATATCATCTGTATATAAATTCCCAATATAGGGAATTTACAGAAAGAGCAGAAACCAGAAGAGCTAGTCTTTCTATTGTGAGGTGCTCATAGCAAACCTATGTACATCAGAATGAAACACTGCCTAGTTCTGTGTGATCCTCAAAATTGTTACGTTTGAGCCCAGTGCTTCTCCCATAGTGTCAATTTATCTCTTTAGGGGTCTTCCTGTTTCTCACTGAGCCTCCATTTTATAAGCATGATGTCTCTATAGGGCACTACAATGGGATGAATCAGTTTCAACTTTTCTGTAATAAGAGTGTTTTGTGTTTGTGTTCCTATAGTCTCTACATTCATACCCTTTTCTATTATAATTATCTTGTAACTAAAACTTACATCCTGCTTTTCTCACTTGTCAATACACTTTCAATGGCAGCATAGCAAACTGATGCACCATAGTTTTTGATGACTTGAAATGTAACCATTGTCAATTACACTAACGATCACTTTGCCATTTACATTTCATCTGCTTTATGAGTTGTGATACATATAATATCTAATACTAAGTCAATTATGCACAAGTTCTAACCGGTTGCTTGCTTTTTAATAGTGCAGAAAACAAGGCAATGACCTGCTGTATAGAGGATGGCTCATTCAAAATGTAAGAGGTAAGGCGTTAACTTAATGGAGTCCTGGTGTGGGTTGTAGGATAAGCACTGGACCGCAAAGTCAGTTTGAACTACAAGGTCGGCTGTTCAAACTCACCAGCTGCTCCACAGAAAGCCTATACAGGGAACCGACTCAACGGCATTTAACAACGCTGTAGGATCAGCACGGGACTTCGAACCATAAGGTCAACAGTTCAAACCCACCAGCTGCACCTTGGAAACCCTACATAGGGTCGCTCTGAGTCAGAACGATTCTACGGCACTTTTACAACAGCAACAACAAATTGGATACTGTTCTCGTCCCAAATGACAAGTCTCAATCTGCTTACAAAAGCAAAGCCAATGCATTCAAGATATTTATAAATTAGTCCTTAGGGAACGTTAGAGGAGAAAGAGCAGGGGTTCAGACTTCTGCTCTGGTCTTCTGCTCTGGACAAAGGAGACTTGTAGGTGAGCTGCGTGCTGGTCTCGCGGCCTCAGCAGTGCCCGGGGCAGGGTCATCTATTACTGAGCCCCGATAGAACACCCGAAGAAGGGGCCCAATAAGGCTGAGGAATGACGGAGAAGAAAGGGGAGGGCGCGGCGGCTGTAACAACAGGGAAGTCAGCCAAAAGCGTGGTAGGCAAGGGCAGAGAGAAGCCAGACCAGTAAGAGGGCGGAGTCACGCATGGAGGGAAAGGCAGGGCCACTAGGAAGGCGGGGCCGCTAGAGGAGCGATAGGGCAGGGCCAAAAATGAAGGGCAGGTGAGAGGCGGGGCCACTGGGCAAGGCTGGGCCGCGAAGAATGACAGGTCCTACTGAAGAGAGTAGGCAGTGGACGAGGAGGAGAGGTTACCTAGTTTGGTCTTGAACCCTTGGACCCTGTGTTTCCAAGGAACATTTTAACCCCACATTTTTGACAGATTGCTGATCTCCACTCCTCATCTTAGTAGGGTTACTTGATGCCACTGGCAAGATTTTCTTTGTTGTTGTTGTTGTTATGTGCCGTGGAGTCGGAACCGACCCATAGCGACCCTGTACAGGGTTTCCGAGGGTGTAAATCTTTACGGGAGTAGAAAGCCTCATCTTTCTCCCGTGGAGCAGCTGATGCCACTGGCAAGATTTTCTTTAGGACATGTTATTTCAGAGACACGCCTCTGCAGGCTGATCCTACTTCCGTTACCTGATCCGGAAACTAATTCATTTTGGTGGCATGTTTTATAATCTCAGAACGCAATTGAATTTATTTACCCTATGTCACAAGCTAGATTTATAAATTAAACTTGTGTGGCTATTTTCTCCTACTTGAATATGGTTTGACTTTCTCAAACATTTCTGCTGAAATGTTGAATATTTTAAAGCATAGTAGTACTCCATTTTAGCATGGCTGCTTATTACTGGATTCTGATCTGACGTGGAATAAATTATGTCCTCAAACCAAACTTCATACGTTAAAATCTTGACATTTAACCGTCTTTATCATAGCTATTGATTCTATCTCTACACCAGTGTGGCAAAAATAAACACAACTTTCTGCTGTACTTATTTGCTAGGAAATGCATTAAAATACTTCATTTTCATTCATTAGTTTGGGCCTGTGCAGACCAAACCAGGTGACATTGTCAGAGGGAGGGACACTAAAATGATTGTCTATAAAATTTTTGTGCAGTGCTCCAGCAGCAATTTATTATTCTTTATAAAAAATCGCTGCCTGGATGTAATTATAACAACAAAAAAAACATTTTGTAATCTCACCTTATGTGTATCAATATACTGACAGGACTAAAAATCCACACTAATTTACTTGTTGAGCCTTCTAGTGTGTTCTGGCCAGAGCTGTTATTATCATACAATTACAAGGATGCTTCAAATCAAGTAATTTCATCTGTTATGCTAAAGCAATGCTATTGTTTTTCGTTGCTGCCAGTGTGTTTACAGTGGTTGATTTTGTCAAATTTTTCTTGGTGTTTTAGCTACAATAATGTAGTAATTAGTATTTGTGAACTTGTATCAATAACATTTTTGATAATGAAGTAGTAATTGAAGGAAAAAAAGGCAAAACATCATAAAAGGCTTCAGATCAGTTGCTAATAGTGTAGCTAATAATGTAATTCAATGTAGAAAGATTTTATAAAATAATGTTATTGTTGTTAGGTGCCATCAAATCAGTTCCAGCTCATAGCTACCCTATGCAAAATGGAATGAAACACTGCGAAGTCCTGTGCCAATTGTTTTTGTATTTGAACCCATTTGGCTGCCATTGTGTCAATTCATTTCTTTGGGGTTCTTCCTCTGTTTCGCTGACCCTCCATCTTACCAAGCATGATGTCATTCTCCAGGGATTGATCCCTCCTGATGACATGTCCAAAGTATAGAGACGAAGTCTCGTCATCCTAGCTTCTAAGGAGCATTCTGTCTTTGCTTCTTCCAACAAAGATTTGTTCAATTTTATTGTTTTTGTTAAGTGCTGTCAAGTCGGTTCCCACTCATAGGGACCCTGTATAAGGTTTTTGAGGAGCAACTAGTGCATTTGAACAGCTGGCCTTGTGGTTTGCAGTTATTATTGTTGTGAAGTGCCGTCGAGTCGATTCTGACCCATAGCAACCCTATATAGGATTTCCAAGGAGCATCTGGTGAGCTTGAACCACTGACCTTGCAGTTCAAACGGCTTTGCAGTCTGGCGTATTAACCCACAGCGCCACACCAGGATTCTGTGGTTTGCAGTAGATACCTTTAAATTATGGTGTTGGAGAAGAATATTAAAAGTACCATGGACTGCAGGAAGAACCAACAAATTCATTTCAAAAGAAGTACATACA